TGCTGACCGGGCCTGCTGGCGTGGCTGCTGACGTGGCCGCCCTTTCTTTTTTTTTTTTTTTTTTTTTTTTTTCTCCTCCTTTTCGGGTGCTACATAAAAAAAAAAAATTAATGAGGTAATTACAAAAATGCCCACGTTTTGGGCGTTACATTAGGGGTCAGAATGCAAATAAAAAAAATTGTCCAGTAGGACTGCCCAGTCAATAGCTTCGACGAATCGGAGCGCACCGTGTGGTAAAGTACACTGACCTGGTACTATGTTGGTAATCTGCGTGCTCTGTGATCGGACGACCCAGAAGCGATCTTACGAGCGTGGACGGTTCGAATCTATTTCTCTCCTTAGGCGCGATCAGACGGTCGAGATCAAACGCAATGAACGGTTCAGATTTGATTCCTCATTAGGTGTGATCAAATGGTCGAGATCAAACGCGATGAATGAGCCAGATTAACGCGAGATGAGTATAAATATTTTGCATCATACTGAACCCAAACCCTAGCCGCTAGCCTCCCACCAGAGAAGAAGAACCAATTGCTTGAGAAGGGAGCTGATCGTTGATCGCCGCCTCACTGGAGCCACTTCTGATCGCCAAAAAAGGTGAAAATTCTTCTGCCCACTTGGAATTCGATTTCGAGCACCCATGTGGCCATATTGGAGCAAAACAAACGGCGGATGAGTCAAAAACCATTGGCAAACCCCGGCGAAGGCAAAACTCGCAACCTCCTTGGATGAACCCCTTCCCATTTTTTCTTTTGTGTGATTTTTTCACCGTTGTATTCACCATTCTGTTTTCTACAAGTTGACTGAAGAAAAAACTCCAGCCGCGAAGGTGAGCCTACGAAGCTGCTGCACCCAGAAAACTCAACCACTTGTAGGTTTTCGTTTTCTGATTTTTTTTAGCCAACTGAGGCCCTCTAATATATTTTTTCGTAGTGACATGTATAAAGTCAGCCAAAATCGACAAAAAATGGTCAGGCTGAGGTAAACCACTGTCGCAGGTGGTGGTGCCACTGCTGGAGCACAGTGGTGCTACCGTGTCGGAACTTCGAAATTGGCCAGAAAGAATTTTTAATACCGATTTTGGATTTTTGGAGTATTTTTAGGTACGTGAAGTGTGTTTTAATCTCCACAAAAAAATTTAGAAAACTTGGGGACTGCCAGTAGGTGCAGTAGAAAGTTCGATGTTTCGCACACCGATTTGGGTATGATCCCTCACCATTTTCTCTGTCACGAAAAATTAAGGATTAATAATTAATAATATGGTATTTTGTAAAATTTAAAAACTTTAAAAATAATTACAGGTCATTAATGGAGCCATAATCGGTTAGTTATTTATTTGTCATGTTTAACTGATTATTTAATTTTACAGCTTTAAATATATGATAATATATTAGAATAGTTAAATGATTCAGTTGTGCTTCCTTGATGCATATATGGCTTGTTTTGCATGATTTACAGCTGATTTGTGAAATTTGAAATTAATATACAAATGAAAATTGCTTGGTTATGTGAATTAATGAATTGTTGTCTTACTGAATATCCTCGGAGATGGTGGACGGACCGGGTATATAGGGAACCCTACCGTAAACGTTACCTCATATTGAACGGGGTATCGAGAGATGATATTTTTAGTGCTCATACCAAACGGGATATGGGGACACCCCGATTCACCCTCATACCTGACGGGGTATTGATAGATGATATTTTTGGCGCTCATACTACACGGGGTATGAAGATGACCTGTTATTTGACAAGTTTAGATATTAGGTTCACGTGTAGTGGGACACCCCTATGGACCCCAGGGATACCGATAAGCAAAATAAAAAAGGGAGTGTTGTTGCTCTTTCTCATTTAAATATGAGATCATAATGTTATTTGATTTATTGTATCTATAAGTCGATTTTGAAAATCTCGCAACAATAAGTATGCAATAAATAGTTTTCCTCATGATAAATGAATTTATTTAAATTAAGAGATCCATTGGTTATTTTTATGATTTTTACCAATATTCAGTTTCTGTATCGGTGAGTAATGTTATATACTTATTATGTTAGTGTAGCTCATCCCTTCTCCTATTAACCATTTCAGATCAAAAAAATCAAAATTCAGATCCTGATCAGCAGGAGAGCTGTGAGTAGGTGTCGCCCCGGATCTTATCAATAGATAGTGGAGATTAACTTTCATACAACACTTATTTACTATTTTTATATGTTATTACGTTTTTTTTATGAACCGCTGTAAAATGGATATTTCAGTAGCCTTATCAGGCATGTTAATTTATATGTAAGGAATGTAAACCCTAACGTTATTATACGTTTCTGCATTTAATTTATGATATTATTCCTATTTAAGTTCCAGGTCTTTTCACTTACTATATAAAATAATTTATTTTTTTTACAAGTAAATTAACTTATAATTATAAATTATCACATAATCAAATAGTTAATATTTTTCTCTTTTTTTTTTTTTTAAGTGTGAGTTTGAATACTAAATGTCGTACACCATTCATTATAATCTGAGTTACATTTATATTTTTTATATTATTTTTTGAATATTAACCTTTATTGTTCATTATTTACAATATAATATAACAGAAAACTATCTACTTATATATATATATATATATATATATATAAGTCCTATAGATGGCACAACATCTACTCAATTGGTCATAGCAACTTAATTTAGGTTAAAAACTTGAAAGTAAACAAAAGATAAGTGAACAAACCATACATAATAAAGTTCATAAGGTATTAAATAAAAAACATAATATAAAAAAGTGTGGTTCAAAGTCCAATAAATAGAGTGCCTTGAAAGTATGAACAAATATATTAATACTAAAATAAATAATTGCAAAAAGAAATCCTACATTAGTGTAATTAGCATGTATTATGTGTAAATACTATATTTTTAATTACACCCAAGAATTTGAAAAGTCAAACTTTGAACGAAAATTCAAAATCATAATGGTGGAATGTGTATTAATCCCACTAAATACCAAAAATAAATATTATAATGAATACATATATATATATATATGTGTGTGTATATATATTACAAAAGTTATTTTATGGTGATGATTCAATCTCATAGTGGAAAAATCAAAAGTTCAAAAATTAAATTTAGAGTAGCAAGAACTTTATTTTTATATATTTTAAGTAAAAATAATTTGGACATAAATAAAGGTTGTTGATTTAAATTTAAAACAAAGTTCATAAATATTGTGATAAATTATCAAATTAATTCACTTACTATAATTTGGTTCATAATATTATTTTTGTTACAATTTAATTATTATTTTTTTAAATATTTAATTTTTTATATTATAATAAGCATAGTAATCCAAACATAAAGAAAAAAAAAATTGAACTTAAAATTTTTTTTATGAAGATATTTATTTTTTTAAAAAAATAGATAAAATATGTCGATACAGTGACATCTTAATACCACTAGGAAGGAGAAAAAAATTTGAATTTACGTCCAACGTATTAAATTTACAAAAAAAATATATTTTATTTTAGTATGTATAATTTTCTTAATCTTATATAAAAGGAGATGTTTTTATTTATGAATAGACTTTTGTCTTCTATTACATAATGATTATAATTTTCAAAAGGTTGGTAAAAATTATAAAAAAACCAATAAAGCAATTTTTTTTTTTAAAGTAAATTTATTTAACTTAAAAATGTTAATTTCATGCTCACCTTTAAGTTCCCAAATACCACTTATGAAGAAAAGAATCAAGCTAACAATATATCATACATTCTAAAAGACCAACATTAATCAAACATTACCTTTTTACTTACTTACCGATGCCGCTGGGGGTTCATAGGGTTTTCTGCTACATGTGAACTAAGTATCCATTTTATTAATCAACCGGCCATCTCCATACTTCATTCGGTAATGAGCGTCCAACATATAGTCGCCTCAATACCCTATTTGATTTGAGCGTAATCAAAACAATTCTCAACCCTTTCCGATATGAGACTTCTCAGTCCCGTTCGACTAAGGATAACGTCCACAGTAGGATTATCCTATGTACCAGATCCGTACACCTTTTTTCAAGTTACATGGTAAGCCCTTTAGTTGAATAATATTACCTTACACATACATGTCCACATTACTATTTAGCCACAAAACACATTCAATATTTTTATTTCATGATTACAGGACAATAAGACAATCATTTAATAGACAATATAAACTAACACTCAATAATATGAGAAAACATAATTAAGACATTCATTTAAAACTAAACTAATGGATAATGATGAAAACGGTTGAGTAACCAATAGACAATAAGATAATAACTTAAAAAATAGGTGTTTGAACATTTTAAATTTACGAATACAAACACTTAGAATTTCAAAATTAAACAAATTAAATTCTTATGGGACAAAAAAATTGGTAAGACAATAACTTAAAAAATTAAAACTTTATATAAAATAACAAAGAACCAAATAAAATAGAGTAAATTGAATTATCACAAAAATACACAAAAATAAACCCTCTAATTTTTGTGTAATTATGTCAATAATTAATTAATTAATTTAATTATTTACATAATTAAATTAAATAATTTATTATTACCCACTTGCCAGATTCTTAGTGTCTCAATTTCTGTGTCGTTTTCTTCTCATCCCAATACAAATTAATTAAATTTAAAAATTAAAATAATTTGTTGAATTAATTTTTTAATAATAAAAATTTAAAATGACCCACAGGAGGAGCTGACTTCTTCATGGGCAGCCTCTAAGGACATTAATTGTAGAACAGTTTGATATTTTTGATACGGTACGTTCAGGATTAAATCTCGACCGTCCGATTGTTTCATGATGCATCGTGAAACGATCGGACGGCTTTCACACGAGGACGAAATAAAGCGGACGGTGGACCCCACTACAGAGAATTTGTGTTTGTATAAATCTTGGATATGCCTGAATTGAACCAAAAAAGAGGCCGAAGAGATCAAAACGAGTCAAGTTAGTTTCTTTCCTATTTAAAATCTAATCCAGCCGCTCGATTTCTCCAAATCTTCTTCGTCAATTCTCACGATATGACAATGAAATCAATCTGTCTTTAACACCCAGATCTCAATTTCATCGATTTTGGTCGTTTTTTCCTCTTTATTTGATAGATTTTCCCTCTGTTTTCGGCTTCTCAGCTTGGTTGGCTGCAGGAAGAAACTCGTCTTCTAGACTTCTCTGTTGAAGAAGAAGAAACGAGTTTTCTTTTTCGCGAGTTTACGGATTCTTTTTCCACGCTGTCCATCTTCGTCCTGTGACGCGTTTGGATTCTGTTTATATTATCAGTTAGTTGATGTTTTGATGATGAGTTGCTCTTCTGGTTTCGAGCATATCCAATTAATTCCATAAATTTCTCCCAATTTCCCTGGAAAATTTTCTTATTTTCCCTCATCTTTACGTCTTCAAATAGTAATTTTCCATCTCTGTGCTCATAACGTCTCATTTTTTTTTGCCAAAATTTCAATTCCTCTGTACACATCATACTCTCGGAATCCCTCAAATTCTTGATGAGAAACCGATGATGGGTATCCAAAAAGACAGGGTCAAATTCAACGTAGGAGGCAGAATCTTCGAAACGACTGCTACGACGCTCGCCAACGCAGGCCGGAATTCATTCTTCGGTGCTTTGTTCGATGAAAACTGGGATTTGTTGCAGGCAAACAGCCCCCAAGAATTCTTCATCGACCGAAATCCAGACTGCTTCGCCGTCCTCCTCGATCTTCTCCGCACGGGAGATCTTTACATTCCCGCCAACGTCCCCGAACGGCTCCTTTACAGAGAAGCCCTCTTTTACGGCCTGATTGATCACGTTCGATCCGCTAAATGGGGCCCTTTCGATGGCAACAGGCTATGCCTTGCACGGTCCATCACGGGCTGCGCGCCGGGAGACGGCACGGCCATTCGGGCCTCCCCCGATGGCGGCTGCTGTGTGGCGCATGGCAGTGTGGTGCATGTGTTCGACTGGATGTTAGAAGAGCATCCGCCAATCAATCTTGACTACCAGAGAGTCAATGACATGGGCTGGATCAATCCAGCCAATGTTGTGATCAGCGCTTGTGAGCGACTTGGCCGTGGAGATGGCGGCATGGGGCTGTTCAGCTCGTCTACTGGTGAGCTGAAGTACAAGTTTCAGGTCAGCCATGAGAATCAACTCAAGAGTTACACAGCTGGGGCTTTGAGTTTCAGTCATGACTACAAGATTTTCGCCAGCTGCAAAGGGAGGAGTAATGAATATGGAGTTGGAGTTTGGGACCAAGTGACAGGAAAACAAGTAGATTTTTTCTATGAAGGCCCAGGTTGGTCACTTGGTGATGCTGATAAGCTTCAATGGTTAAATGGGAGTAATTGCTTGTTGGTTGCCACTTTGTTTCCCAGAAAAGATAACTGTTATATTAGCTTACTTGATTTTAGGGAGAAGAAGATGGTGTGGTCTTGGTCTGACATTCTAGCTCCTTTAACTGTTGATGAGAAGAGGGTAAGAGATGCCATAGCCATGGAGGAAAGTAACTCTATCTGTGTTGTGAATGAGTACGAGGATTTAGGGTTTATTGACTTGAGAAGCTGGGGAGGTAGTGTGAGGTGGAGCTCAAGAAGTAGGTTGATGAAGGGGAAGATGCCTGATGAGCCTTGTTATCCAAAGCTTGCATTGCATGAAGGACAGTTATTCTCATCCATGAATGACTGTGTTTCAGTTTTCTGTGGACCTGACTGGGTGCTAACATCTCGGCTTCGAAGAAGCTATGGAGGTTCAATATGTGATTTCTCCATAGGTGGGGATCGGCTTTTTGCCTTGCATAGTGAGGAGAATGTGTTTGATATATGGGAGACTCCACCGCCTCCAATTATATGATTCTTGTCATTGTTTATTTCCTTTTCTTTGATCTGGGTATTTTTACATTCTGATACAAATAGATTTCCTCGTCTTCGTTTTAGGTTTTCAGAAGGTAAGAGATTGAACTACCAGCTACACATGATAGAGATAGAGAAGTTACCGAAAAAACAAAACCTTTAGATGTTGATTAGCGTGTTTGTGTATTGTACAGAGTTTGTTCATTTTTAAAACAGAAATGATATTACTAGCTCAGCTACCCATATATTTGCTTATGGTAACAGGGAAATGAAATGATTTATCAGCTGTCACAGCTTTGAATTTCTTCTGGTTCTGGGTTCACTTTAGAAGATGCATTCAGATTAGATAATCATATCATAAGCAGGTTCCAAACTTTTAATAGACATTTTCCACCATCTTACTCTTTTTTACTCGTGCTTTTCTTAAAGCTAATTCTTGTCTTCCCATTTGGGTTTTTAGTTCCATTTAACCTGGATTAGGGTTTCAGATTCTCTGTTCGTGTAACGGAGATCCTCTTGCTCATGTGAGCAGTTGCAACTGCTACACCAGCTGAGAGATTTATTTTAAGTTCACTTTGCATAAAGAGGTTTGGCAAAATGCTTTTTAAGTTTGGTCTTTGTCAGTTTGGAAATCATGTCTGGTTCCAATATAATTAGCTTTTTCTGGTGCACCAAATCTCATATGATCAATCATCACATGACCACATCAAAATTCCCACCTCCATTTTCTTTCTTACTTTTCTTTTCTCATTCATGGGACCTGGACAAAGTCATTAAACCAGAAAATGTGTGTGTGCGTGTGTGTGTATATATATATATATATATATGAAAGTTTTTATATCACAACTGTTTAAACTGAGGTTAAATGTTAGTGTACAATACATATATATTTTTATAAACAAAGATACTCTGTGCAAAATAAAACATTTGTCAGATGCAATATATGCAGTGTTGGCCAGTACCCTAATGCTAATATTCTATTATAAACATAAACAGAGATCTGAGTTGTATGGTCAACCAGTGCAATATACATTTTCATATTATATAAATCCAACAGCTCTCTTGACATTATCCTGAAGGAGTTATGATGATTGGAAGGGAATCCCATTTCTCAAAATCAAAACTTGTCCAATAAATTATCATCTTTTTCCAACTACCTAATAGTTTCCTTTTTTAATATATACATATATATATAATACACTGCCAGCATTTTTAATAGTCCGTATCTCTCAATGGTTAAACATCAGAGATGAATGTTCAGAGAAACTTCCTCTCAATTTCTTTTTTTCTTCTGTGTAATGAGAAAGAATTATTCAAAGAGAGAACATGTGTAATACATGTATTAGAAGGAACTGAACATATGGAAAACCAAAATAGCATGCCTAATCAACTGCCAAAAAGAAAAAAAGATAAAGAGATAAGAAATAACCAAAAGCAGTGGATCTTCGAGCCAAGAAAATTTAGGCATAGTCTGGCATCACTCTTTTGAGGAATTTAATTGGCTGAGAGTCTTCCGGGGCAAGCTTATCAAAAGCAACGTAATTTTCCTCCTTATCATAAACATGGCACACGGTCAATATTGTCTTCATCAATCGCCAATTCCATGTGGCCTCGTTTAGATACTGTCCACGACAGGGAAAGAACAAGATTGTTAGCATGGCAACATGAAATTTTGAGACCAGAAAAAGAAATAGAATAATCAACTATGAGAATTCCTCGAGTCTTTTCAATTATAAGTTCAAACCAATTATGAAACTTTAGGTTAAATTTTTTGAGGATCTTTTGAACTCGAGTGCATTTAAAAAGGGAGGATGGTGGTCGAACAATAAATGAAGTATAATTTCATTAATCCTACCTTTCCCCAGTTTTCTTGAATAGATTTGTGTGCTGCCCGCAGATTATAGCTTGGTATTCTCGAAGAAACATGATGAGGTATGTGAACATTAATATCATGGCAGAGGATCTCAATCCTGTGGAAAGAAAAATGAGGAATTTTTCTCATAGATAAGCATCTATAATGTCTCTGGATGCATAACCCATTACATATATTTACAACATGAGCCTAGTTACATGACATATCTATCGATAACCTAAAGGACAATTTGTTAGAGCCAAATTGTTTCATTTCAACATCCTTTCTTTTTATCCTTGTTTTCTCTATTTACGAGATTGGAAAAACGGGGGATTGCAGCAAATTACAAAAATTTTCCACTTCAATCATTTTGTGGGGAAATGCAGTGTCATTAGCTGTACACTGGCAAAAGCTAGCCTCTTGATACCTAACAAATCAGCTTTTAGATTTACCCTAAACTCCCTGTCAAAACGGATGGATGGGTGAAAAGAACAAGCCAGTGAATTTGTTCTACAAAATTCAGTTTCTTACCAACTAGGATAGTCACAATGAACTGTTCCATTAAGCTGAGCCTGAGCAGCATTCCATTCATCCGCATGTTTGAAGGGTATGTGGGGGGCAGTGTGATGCACCATCGTAAAAGTACTCATCTACAAGTTTTATAAAATAAAAAAGAAGAAAATGAATAATCTTTTGTCAAAAAATAATTTTTTCACATAAAAAAAGCCAATGGATCACTCAGCAGATGCAACCAGAAATCAAACTGCAGTGTCAGATCATGAAACAGTTCAAGACGTTTAATTTTTAACCATCCGATTCATTATGAAGCTAAGCCAACCAACTGTAACAACATTACCCAGAAGTGATAGCCCAACCATGGCATCAGCCAGTACTTTATCCAGCCCATAATCCCAGTCTTGAAGATGATCAATGGCCATCCAATCGCCATGAACGCAAAAACACAAGCTAAACTGATCTTCACCCTCTTAATTTCATTTGGTCTGAACTTGCTCAAATCGAAGTGCCAGATCAACCTATTAGAAAAAGATTCATAATGTTACAAGAAAATTATTTTCACCAACAATCAAGTTTCCTTCTACAGGGGACGGATTACCGAAAGATCACTTTTTTTTCTTCTTTTTTCTCCTGCTTTATACTGCATATGCTAGAAACTTATTCAAATTTTAGGAGAAGCCTTGCTTTGGTCCTCTCCTCACTCTGCCTCTGATATCTAGATATACTATAGTCTTATCTGTATAAGATTTGCCTACTATTAGTAGCATACCAGTGAGCTATGGACATCCAAGGCCGGAACGGACCATATCCAAATATTATTGCTTTGCGTAGAGCAGGAGATGAGTCAAACTCTTCTTTCCAAACCGGGTGCCAAGCTGTATCTTCAGATAACCTATTGAAATTCAAGTACAATTAAAATATCTAATATATATAAGCATCAATAAGAACGGTTAAAACTCAAAAGGTGAAAAACAAAAGGAGTTTGAAAAACTTGATTGCAACAAAAACACCTAACTTGATGACCAAACAGTAAGAAAAATATTAAATACATAGGTGTGGACGTTCATGCATGCACTGCATTAATAGCTGCAATAATGTGAAAAGCTTTCAAGTTGGATAACAAAACTAAAATATTTCTAGTGCATAAATATCATGCACAGCGCACATGTTATCAGCAAGTATCCATTTATAACTATGAATAGCATAGGTATAATAGGACACGGTTTTTTCCAACAACTAAAAAACACAAATCTAAAGGTAAATGTTTTTCATTTAGCCAGGAGACAGTATCATAACTGTGGCAGAATCAGAGATTGTAATGATAAGAAAATTCATAACTGAGGCACAAAATGGTTAAAACTTTCAGAAAAACAAATAAGAATGTTAAGCAATATCGTAATTACATGTTTGTCTTTGCGTGATGCCTGTCATGCTTAAACCGCCATGGCTCATATGGGTAGATCAGAGGCAAAAAGGCCAGAGTTCCCACAATATCTTCCAAAAGTTTATTCTTTGAAAATGATTTGTGAGCACAGTCGTGGCCTATAACAAAAAACTGAAACAGAAAACAAGAAACCACGTTAATTCCGAAAAGATGCAGCAGTAGATGCTTGTTTTAAAGGAATATATGGAAGCATCAACTGAGTAACGTAAAGAGAGTTCTCGATAGCTTACCCCTGTTACCGCAGTACCTGTCCATGCCCAGGCTAGGGGAAGTAAATACCACGGAGCTTTTGAAATCATGAAGAGTCCCAATGCATAGGAAGTAACAGATATTAAAACTGACTTCCATGCTTTCACATCATCAATCTCAAACACCTTAAGAAAAGGGGGAGAGAGAGAGAGAGAAACAGATTAAAAAATTATTTTTAGCAAATAAATTCTGGTATGAAAGTAAAGATGAATTACAATGAGGAAAACTTCTAGGCTCTACCTATTGACATACTTCTGGTGTTCTGGTATTTCATAAATCATCATCTAAATTTGGCATAGAAAATCCAACGTATGGAAATATAAAGCATGATTTAAGACCCAAGTAAAATGTTTTCATCAATCACAAAATTTCTGACTAAAAGAGAAGTAATTGGACAAAAAGAAATGAAGTGGCTTAAATAAATCTTTTTTTGTCAATAATCTTAGACCAATAAATCAAATTTGATTAATATATACTCGATCAAACACTAATTGGAAATGTCTTGAAAAACAACCTGAGGCCGATTAACCTAATATGTACATTACATCCTATTCATCTGTGAACCAAAGAGAACAATGTTTGGCTTGAAAGTTTCATCAAATGATGGGATTAAACAGGAAACTCACCCACATGAGCCATGGTCATAAAAACGGGAAAACACTAGTTACATTAGTTGAAAGCAATGCAAAGTGCAACTCCTAATAAATCTTACCTTTTTTGGAAGAGTATTGATAATATCTTTTAAAGTAACATTGTCAGGAAGAGGTTCTCCAATTTGATCGAAGCCATACTTTGCTGCTAACTGTTTCCTATACTCAGCACTGTCAGCCGAAGCAGGTGCAATTGGAGTAGCCACAGCTTGAATAAATCTAGACTTTTTTGGATAAACTAAATATGTACTACTTTTGTTTCCCTTCATAAGTAGGTTCTCCCACTTCACATGATAAATGCCTGCCAATCACAAAATAACGTGAGGAATCTGTTAAAGAAAATGCAAAAATATTCAATAGCACAACAGCGTTAAACAAGTACTATTCATGCCAGCTCCGAGTCTCAGTGATATATTCTGATTTCCTGTTGGCACCTTCTTGATTCCTTATGAAAAAAATCTTAAATAATAAAGTATTGCAATATCACAAGGCCTGATAAAATCATAGCAAACACAGGCTAAAGAATGCTAAATAATTTTAGGATGAACGTGCCATGAAGTGATCGACTTAAGTTCCAAACTGATCCAGAAGGGGTCCTACCTTCATGAGGAGAATATGACCGAATCAAAAAAATTTAACCGGATATAGAAAAGCTAGCAAAAGCACATGATATTTCACATAAGTTCTCTTTCAAAAGCACCAAACCACGGAAAATTTAGTAGTGTCTTGAAGTCACCATGTCTCCATGGTAACTTTTTAAACTTTCATTTATCTAAAAAAAAAAATAAACTTTCTAAACTTTCATAGAAATCTAATAACTTTATGTAGTGATCATATGGCATTATTTGATTGCTCCCAATATTAATCGATTCCTACATAGAATTCCAAAATTTCTACAAAATGTGTGAAAATCACTGCAAGATGTTTCAAGAAAAAAAAAAGGGCATTGCTTATGGACAATAAACAAGGTAAACTCCAGAGTCCTGAACATTATAATCCAGCAAAAAAATGCTTATCTCAACCCAATTCCATGTTTCTGCAACCAGCCCCACTTACAATTACCAGGAGAAACAAGCAAATGCAATTGAACACCATCTTCTCTATGAACACCAAGCTAATAAACCCAACTCCCCAATTGATCCCCAAGAAAAAAGAAATAACACATGGCTTCAAAACCCAAATTGGGAAAACCAGAAAACACATTACATACCTGGAGAAGAATGAGTTGCAATCTTTTGAGTCCTCAACGGCCTTTGACGGGGGCCCTGAAAAAAAAAAACAAAATAACAGAGTAACCCCATATGCATGACTTTCATATATACATATATACAATACCCACAAAGATAAATGATGAAAATTGGGAATTTGTACCATGAAAAGGAAGACAGAATCTGCAAGCCTGCAAGCCATGCGAGCAGAAATGCAGAAAGATAAATTCCCAGTTCACAAGGCCCCCTCCCCCCTCCTACCTCCTGCTCTTCCTCACTTCTTGAGCTATAAAGCAGCAATCTTTTGGAGATGCAGGAGCGTATGAGATTGAAAGAATGTGAAATAAATGAAAAAGATAGACTTTTGGTTATTTGCAGGAAAGGCGACAGAGACGAGGGTCTGAAAGGGTAGTATCCGCCTTGGCCTTTTATGGGAAGCACTAGTGGCTGGTTTCGGCCTAAACCGCCTCAAAGACTCTCGCTTGCTTTTTCTTCATGTGGTCAGCATTCCACCCTCCACCTCAGCCATTGAGATATACATATACATATTATAAATACATGTACATACATGTATATGTACACATTCATGAATAAATTCTGTATATGCCCAATATGGAATGAGGTTTAGAATGTGTTTGGAGAACTGGGGCTTTATTCTTTTCACCCAAAAGTAAGGATGTGTTTGGATTTTGGATTTTTTAAAGAAAAAATTGGATCATCTTTTTAATAAATTGTCATCTTTAATAAAAAAAAAACTAGATGAGGTATTTGAAATTTAGGCATGTGTATGTATAATTGGATTTATTATTTTTGAAAACATTATAATTTGGGTTTACATAATATTTTATTAATTAATTGTAATTTAGTTTTTAAAATGTATAAAATAATTGTTAAATATGTCACACAGAATAATTTTTTGATTATAAAATAACAAAAAGGTACAGAGTAACAACCCATGCCACTCGGTTAGCACGTTCTATGTGTTTTTCTCCTCTAATGTCTGCCGGTTGGCACGCAATTTCTATTTTCTAAAATTTTTTTTAAGGTTAGTGGAACAATGTCGAAGAATGATGATGGTCTAGCAGCACTAAAAATTGTGGATGAATAAGAGGGAGGATGGGATGTGTTTGAAGGGGCTTTGAGGGAACTTGAATCTTATGAACTTTGTTTGGTTGGTCGATTCCTGACAGAAGTTGTGATTAGGTTTGAACCTATGAGGAACACCCTAGCTAACATTTGGCATCTTTTAGGGGGTGTAAATATTAAAGATCTTGGAGGCAGCTGATACCTGTTTAGATTTTTCTATGAAGTAGATATTCGACGTAGTATATCCGGTGGTCTGTGGACTTTTAACAATCATATGCTCGTGTCACATTGGTTGAGATAAGGTGAAAACCCTTGGAAAGTTGATTTATTTAAATATTATTTTTGGGTATAAGTCCACTCGTTACCAGAGGGATGTTTCTTAGAATTCATGGCGTGTCAGTTTGGTGAATTTTTGGGTGGTTTTGTTGAGAATGATCCTAAACACTATGGTAATGGTAGTCCGATGTTTATGAGGATAAGGTGACTGTGGACGTTCGACGCCCTTTGCTCCGATGGAAAAAATTGAATTTGCAAAACAGGGAATCTGTGTATTCCATGTTCAGTTATGAACGACTAAGGACTTTCTGTTACTTATGCGGTAAAATGGGGCACTCTGATCAATTTTGTTAGTTGCTTCTCCTCCTACTTGGGCTATCTATCCAGCCGAGATGGGATGATTCCCTCTGTGCCCTACCTCGTCAGAATTCTCAACCAAAAAGCCTGTGGTTACGAGATGATCAGGGGGCTCTGGTTGACAAGTTGAAGGTGGTTACTCAAGATGGTGAGATAGTTAATCAACGATTTTCAATTTTCCAGGCCCAGCCATCACTTCCGATATTATTGGGAGCTGGAAATTTGAAAGTGAGGCTGGTGTATGGTGTGACTGATGAGTCTTTGGGCCAGTTGCCCCTCATGGGTCGGACTTGTCATGTTGACATGGCCACACCAAAAGCCTAGTCCCTTGTCCTCCCTTCGAAAGATGTGGATATGACCTCAGATGAAAGTAAGAAATAAATGAGACTGAGTATACGGGGAAAGGAAGGACAGTTATCGAAACTAATGAGTTTGAATTCAAATGGCACAAATAACACACAAAAAACTGAGAGATCAGCGAGTTCTGTTATGCAGGCTCACCGGGCACAATGAAGATCTTAAGTTAGAACTGTCGGAGGCTTGGTAATCCCTGAGCAGTTCTCTCTCTTCACGAACTTATGAAGAAATTTGAGCTAGATGTATTTTTCCTTGTTGAAACACTTGTTGACAGAAGAAAGTTAGAGAGCATAAAAGTTCAATTGGGTTTTACTAGTATGTTTGGGGTGGACAAAGTTGGTCGAAGTGGTGGGCTTAGACTGTTCTGGCTGTAAAATTATATGTTATCTATAATCTTGTATTCTAGCAATCCTGTAGATACCAAAATATAAACAACTAATGGGAGGGAGTGACTGCTAAGGGGCTATTATGGTATGCTGAATAGAAATTGCAGAAGGGAAACGTAATAATTACTAGAATATCTTTTTCGCGGTCGTTAACTTTCCTGGGCTGTTATTGGGTACTTTTGTAACGACCCCGGGAATAAAAAGGAAATGTATATATTTATTCTAAGTGCGGAAACGAAATAAAATAGATTATGATTAACATCTCTTACACAATAACCAAAACGAATTAAACGTATGAAAAAATAAACTAACTAAAGGAAATATTATGAATGAATACTATAAGAAAAACTAATAAATTCATAGGCTTCTACTCGTCGTCTTCTTGCAGAACAGGCTCGGGAACCAAGCCCTCCTGATCTGAAAAGGTTAAGTAAGGAATGAGCTATACTAGCCCAGTAAAGACATCACATTATCTCATTGTCACAGAAATAAAGGTTGGTAGAAAACAAAAATGACCAATTGAGCATAATTTATAACAAACTCATTTATCAATAATAAAAACCTTTATTGTCCACTTACCTCGGTGAAATTTATGAAAACAACATATAAGAAACCATAACATCATAAACATCATAAAATCATGCACACTCTGTAACATAACACATATCATACTTTTGTATTTCAATCATCAGACAACAAATTTCCTCTTTTATCAGCCTACTAGTATCCATGGGGATCCATAAGGGGTCCCCGCTACACGTGAACCATTCAGATTAATAACTTAATTCCAGGGCCATCCCCATACTTCGTCCGGTATGGGCACCAAAACTATAAACCTCAATACCCTGTCCGGTATGAGGTGAAACGAGCCGTCTCCATACCCCGTCCGATATGGGTGCCAAAACACATAAAGTCTCCATACCCCGTCCGATATGAGAGACTACGTTCCCGGTAGGGTTCCCTATGGACCCGGTTTATCCACCATCTCCCAGGATATCTAGTCAGGCTGTCGAAATTATCCATTTATCAATTCACATACCTTTTTTTATTCTTTTCTTAATCTCAATTATCCAATCAAACATAAACACGTAAACCAGTAATGGACACCAAATAAGGCAACACAGCATCGAGTTCACAATGATTCAAACCATAATAAATGAAACAATGATTCATGCATACGAAACCATAAAATAAACACATCAGGCATCATACTGCATTTAAAACTGTAAAATAAATCAAACAACACCTGACCGAAAAATACATCAGATTCGGGCTATATTAGCAACTTTAATTAATTATACATATCTATTAATTCATAAATATCGTTTTATCATTTATTAAGCTTTAATGCTGTAATAGGAAATAGGATGAGAGATCCTTACTTGTTTCGGAGTCTGAAATCGGGTTCTCACTGCGCCTATGGGCAGTCCCTAGATTTCCTGAATTTTTTCTCGGAAACTGAAACACACTTCCAGTACCTGTATATGTCCCAAAAAAAAAATCCCAAAATCAGACCCAGGGCCCTTTCGGCCAATTTTAAAATTCCGGCACGGCGGCTCCACCGTGCTCCGGGGACGGCGTCGCCGCCCGTAGCGGCGATCCTCATCGGGTTGGCCGTTTTCGGCCGAATTCGACCAAACTTGTATTGGTTCCTGTGATAAAACACCCCTAGGGCCCTCGATGGGCCAAAAAATTATAGAAAACCGAGGCTTACTAGCGGCGGGGCTCTTGGGTGCGGCAGCTCCTCCGGCGCGAGTTGCGGTTTGGTGTTTTGCTCCTATCAATCTGTAGAGAAAATGACGGTGGTATAAAAATTACATCGAACGGGAACTAGGAAGGGCCTCATCGGAGGAAAAAACTGAGGAAATCTGCGGCGACGTCGTTGGGCTTCGGCTGTATTTTCTGGCAAATTGACCAGTAGTTTGGCTCCGATTTGACCACAGGGAGGTTCAGCATCAAAAAACGAGCCAATGAGAGAAATTTTACCTCGTTTGGTGGCCGAAAAATCCTCCGGTACGGCGGCAGGTGGCGGCGGCCGGTCCTCCAGTGGCTGAGTCATCTTCTCCGGTGAGGGTTCTGGCGGCTAGGGTTTGTGGTTGGGTGTGGATGTTATTATTTATAATCCTCTCCTTTTAATCTGAGCCATCCATCATGATTTAATCTGGGCTGTCTGATCGCGATTAAATTAGAAATAAATATGGAGCGTCCATCGCGATGCGATCTGAACCGTCCGTGCGTAATCAAATCTGGACCGTTCGCACGCATGAGATCTGGGCCGTCCGTACACGCGGGAACGGATCTGGGCCGTCCGATCGCGCGCACGCGAATCACCCACGTGTCTCCGTCCCGTGTGGCTTCCCGCATCAGCATCCCTGTCATGCGGCGTGTCCTGGTTGGTCGGGGCTGCTGACCGGGCTGCTGACGTGACGCTATTTTTTTAAATTGTGTTTTGACCCCCGATTTTCGATTTTCTTTTCAAAAACATCCCCAGAATCTAAATTTTCACCCCTTTGTTTCCAATTTCAATTTCAATTAAATCCCAAAAATAATTTTACCCCATTTTATTATTATTATTATTTTTATTTCTATTAAATTAAATTAAATTAAATTAAAACCTTATAAATTAATTATTAAAATAAAATAAAATAAAAAAAATTCTAAATTAAATTAAAATAAAATAAAAATAAAAATAAAAGAAAAATCTTTGGGTGTTACAACTTTAATGACGTTCTTTCTGTGTTTGACAAGGAGGGGGGAACGACCCCATCATTCTCTCTTATGAAGGGTTTCCAAGAAATTCTTGGCCGGTGTAACTTAGCATATATGCCTCTCTTTGGATATGGTTTTACTTAGACTAGGGGATGGGCTACTCAGAAAATACAGGAATGGATTGACAGATATGTGGTGAATGAAGCATGGTCTAAAATGTTTCTGAATGCAGGATAGGAAAATGTATATGCCCCTATTTCGGATCATTCCCCGATTCTTCTTTTATGTGATTACTTACCCAAAAGACATCCCATAAGATCGTTTAAGTTTGAGAATGCTTGTCTAATGGAACCCACTATCAACGACAAGATAATACGGAGTTGGCAACAAAGTAATGAATATGATATTATGTAGAAGATTTCGAACTGTGGACAATCTTTAGAGGCTTGGGAATCATCTTTGGTATATAATTTTGGCTGCAAGAAACGGTAGTTGTATGATAGGTTTACTTAGGTATGCAAATTTCCATTAAATTATCCCTCTAAGCACCTTGCCAAGTTGAATAGAGCATTTATAAAGATGCTGGAGTAGGAAGAATGTTACTGGAGATAATGAGCTAAGTTTTTTTTTGTTATCTTAGGGACATAGAAATTCAAGATTCTTTCATAGACAAGCCTCAAAGTGTCGTCGTCAAAATTCTATTACTGCTCTTAGAGATGTAAATGGGGTATGGATACGAAATGAATCAGCTATACAGCTACATGTAATTAAGTATTTCAAAGGTTTGTTTTCTTCGTCTAGAGAAAATGGGAATAGAGTCATAGAGAAGATTATTTCTAAAGTTTCTATGGAGAATAATGAATGATTGTTACAATTGTTGAGTGTGGAAGAGATCAAAGTGGCTGTTGTTCATATGAATCCGGATAAAGCTCTAGGTCCAGATGGGATGAATCCAGCTTTCTTTCAAAAATTCTGGAATACTGTTGGTGCTGAGGTAGTCCAATAATGTCAATCATGGTTTACCATGAATGATTTTTTATCATCATTTAATCACACCAATATAGTGCTTATTTCAAAAAAGGACTATTCTGAATCAGTTAGAAACCTTCGGTTGATTTCTTTGTATAATATTCTCTACAAGATATACTCTAAGGCACTAGTAAATAGACTCAAATGGCTTTTTTCGGGTATTATAGTAGAAGAACAATCGACCTTTATGCTTGAGAGGTGTATAACTAACAACATCTTGGTGGCTTTTGAAACAATTCATAAGATGAAACATTTATGTATACAGAGGGGTTATGAGATGGCCATTAAAGTGGATATAAGTAAGGCAAATGATAGTGTGAAATGGGAATTTCTTGAAGCTATGCTTTTAAAATTTGGTTTTCATACTAGATGGGTACAATTGATTATGCGGTGTGCTCAATCATTTGTTTACATGGTTAAGTTAAATGACCATGAAATTGGACCTGTTATTCCATATTAAGGTTTATGGCAGAGGGACCCGTTGTCACCTTATCTCTTTTTTTTTTTATGTTTGGAAGGTTTGTCATCTCTCTTTAAATAAGCAGAATCCGGGTGTAATTCATGGTGTTCGTATTTGTCGTAACAGTCCTTTCATATCTCATCTTCTGTTTATCGATGATTCTTTCTTTTTCTTCCAGGCCACGGTGGAGGAATGTTCTATTGTTAAAAGGATCCTTCATGAATATGAGTTGGCGTTCGGACAGGTTGTTAACTTCTTAAAGTTGAGTATTTTCTTTAATAAAAACACTCTTGTTGAACTGCGTCATTGTCTGCAAAATGTAATGGGTATTTCAAATCCTTTAGATCATGAGCGTTATCTAGATTTGCCTTCTCTAATCGACAAAAATAAAAAAAAAACAAGTCTTTGATTTTCTAAGAAAGTTCTTAGTCCGAAAGTTGAATAGTTGGAGTCATAGACATCTTTCTCAAGTTGGACATGAAATTCTACTAAAATCGGTGGCTTAGGCACTACCAACTTTCTGTACGAGTGTTTTTTAGCTTTCAAAGTCTCTAGTTGATAAGCTGCAGAAGATGATGAACAGTTACTAGTGGGATTCAAAATATGCTGCTAATAGGGGTATGAATTAGATGTCTTGGGATAAATTATGTAAGAAGAAAGAGTGGGGTGGAATGGGCTTTCGGTATTTATATGAGTTTAATCTTGCAATGTTAGGTAAGCAGTTATGGATAATGTTAACTGCTCCTCATGCACTGGTATTGAGAGTCTTTAAAGCCAAATATTTCTCCAATGGCGATATTACAAGGTCGGCACTGAGAAGTAATCTTAGTTTTTGCTAGAGAAGTCTTCGTGCAGCAAAATCATTGATAATTTTTTGTCTGCATTGGATTATTGGTAATGTAACAAATGTGAGTGTCTGGAATGATTCGTGGCTGCCTAGAGACATGGACTATATGGTTAGAAACATGTGTCTATTAGGTTTGAAATTGATCGTTGTTGGGGATCTCATGATGGAAGATTATGGAGAATGGAACTCTGATATAGTGAAAGGAATTTTTTATGAAGAAGAAGTTGAACTTATTCTAAGCATTCAGTTAAGTTATCACTGCCAGTCAGATAAGCTGATTTGGGCCCCCTCTATTGACGGTCATTATTCAATGAAATCAGCATATAATCTTTTTATGTCCACCGATAAAGATATAAGTTTCTATGATTGTCTTTGTTGGAAGCAAATTTGGAGTGCATCGGTCCCCCCGAAAGTTAAGTCTTTTATTTGGCATTTGTTAACAAATTCTTTACCGATTCAGAGAAGGTTGCAGGAAAAAGGAATGGATATAACAGCAAAGTGCCCTTGTTGTGATAATACGAAGACTCTGTTTCATGTTTTTTTTTTTATTGTGATAAGGCTGTTGCGTGTATGCAAAAGTTGAGTTTTTCTCATCTACAGTTGGCACCTCAGAATGTTGTTCACTGAATTCGGTTTCATAGTAGAGGACTGTAAAATGATGCTAAAGAAAATACCTAATATTTATATTAGATGAGTGAACAAACAAAATAATAAAGTGACCCATCATTTAACTAGAGCCTCATGTGATCATCGTATATTTTATGTTTGAGAATCTACCCTAATTGATATATCTATTTTACTAAATGTGTAATGTAAATATTTTGTTTAAAAAAAAAAAAACAAAACAACTCACGCAACTTCAAAAGCATAGTTAAAAAATTAATAATTTAAAAACATAATTGCTATTTAATCTTTAACTAATGCAATTGTTACAAGCCATAGTCAAATGTCTTTTTATTTTATAATATATTATAAATTAACAATATATAATAATTATTTTAATTAAATTACAGATTTAATTATTAAATATTAATAATTTATAATAATTAAATAAATTAAAATTTTAAAAAAATTATTATATTTTTAAAGTAAATAAATATTTCAATTTGTTTTCAAATTTTGTTTCTTAAAAGTATCATTAAATTTAATTTTAATTATATAAACTAGAACGCGTAATTTTTTCAGTCACGTTTTTTTTTTTTTTTAATAAATAAATAAATTTTCAGTAAGAGGACGTCGTCAATTCCACCGTCACCACCTCCCTCTCCCAATTTTTGCTTTTTTTCAAACAAAATAAATTTCACGTGGTCTATAATGAATTTTCCCCTCTATTCAAAGTAAACGTCTGAAAATAAAAATTCCTAAAAAGTCATCCAAAAAATTGACAGCCACTCACTCCGTTAATATTAATATTTTGACTGGCCGTTAAATGGGCCAAATTGGACTGGGCCGGGTTTCGTAATTCAAATTGGGCCGGTTCATTATTAATTCGGGTCGGGTTAAGTTCGTACATGAATGGCCTGGCCCATATTTGATAAACTGAAAGAGCCCACAGATGACTGAATAAGTGGAAATAACAAATTCCTTCTTAGAGCTAGCAAATCCGTATCCAGAAGAAAAAACCACCGATGAACGGATTCTGACAGAGTGGCGGACGAGTTAATGGTGGTCAACTCGTAAATCGGCGTTTCTTTTCCGCGCAATCTCGGTATTGATCATGGCAAGCGACTCACCAAGTTCTGTTCGGAAAGGTTAGTTAAAAAAGCACGTATTGATGATGATGAGGCGCTGCTTAGGTTTGGATTTTAATTGACTAATGCGCTCGTTTTAGATTCAGTGGTAGTTGTGTTTCTTCAACTTCTTCCAAGGATGATTTTCGATTTTTTTGTTGAATCTTATTCGAATTGCAATTTGATGTAGTTGTTGTTCATTTAAGAGCCACCGGTGATGCTCCCATACTCAAGCAAGCTAAGTTCAAGGTATCTACTTCATTGGGAAATGGCTTAGCAATTATAGAATTTGTCTTCTGTTTGTATGTACATAGGGGAGAAGAAGATCTCACCCGGAACCTAGGGGGATTTATGTTGGTATAATTTTTAAGCACATGAATTCTTAGAGTATGTTAGATTTAGGTGTGCGTTGCTTCATTATAACAATCATTATGAACAATCAGTTCTTACAGGATGATCATTTTTGGGGTTTCAAAGCTAGGAGCATAGCTTCAGTATGAAGACTCAGAAATTTTGCATCTGGCCGCATTTTATACATGGTTTTTTTTATCATAGATCAATGCATTATTTTCATTAATGCTGTTCAGACTTATGGTTTAACTAATAGGCAAAAGCATGTGTAGCTAATTTAGATCTTGCCTAGTATGCTAACTCTAGCACTTATCTCCAAGTTTTTGAGTATGAATTAAACACAATTGCAGTAGTAATTGGCTTTTAGGCCTTAGATCCACTACTCAAGCACCGGTGCTGTTATGCTACTATATTTATTAGCGGCTATTTGGTAGATCTTTTATAAATTAGCATTAGGAAATCGAGATATCCTATTTCCTGTTCTTTTTTTTTTTTGGGAAGAGAATCTCTGTTTTCAGGTAATATTATTTGAAATAAATTTTCCATAAGAGTCTGATTGTTGCCATTTGGTATAGTGGTTTATGGGTATCATTGAGATATTGATATCTAGATCCTTTTTAATGTTGCAGATACTGGGAAATGACAAGTTCGTGAAAGTGATTGACTTTCTGAGACGACAACTTCACCGGGATACATTGGTAGCTGACTTCTCTGTTGTTTTTTAGGACTTAAGATTATCTATTGGTTTTCTAGTACTGAGTTCTGTTCTTTGTAGTTCGTCTATGTCAACAGTGCATTCTCACCAAACCCTGATGAATCAGTTATTGATCTTTACAATGTAAGTTAACTTGAAATATTTAATTATTTTTATGTGATTTTTTCTTCAGTTCTTACAAATTTATGTTGAGAACTTAACAGTATTCCATTTTCCATTTATTACACTCCTATGTTTAAGACTATATCCATTCTATTATAAGATGGATTATAAATCCTTAACTCTTGAGGAAATTTTTGTTGCTGTTAGTTAATTACTGCCTTTTCATTCTTTCAACCTACATCCAACAGGAACAAGTAAGAAGGATTTAGTAAAAGAACTATTTAATTTTCATTCTCAAAATCGTGGAATAATCTTCTCTGTTGTCCTTTTGTGAATAGATCTTCTCATTGCGCTTCTAGTCTCTAAGGATGAGACAACCTTTTAGCATATGCTTGGAGAATTCAAGTATTTTATATGCTATTAGCTCAATCCTACATTAAGGGTTATCTGTAATCATGAACTCTAAAATATATTTTGTATATTTCAAAGTCTTTAGATTCATGCATTTGAACTATTTCAACAACATGCTTTTCTCCTTTTGAGATGTTTTCAGTTAACTTATCTTGGAAATTAATTTCAATTCCTCCTGCAGTCCTGCAGAAATGTGCTGATTTTTACTTTTGCTGTGCTCCTTACTACTCTGTGTGTGTGTATTAAAGGAGCTTCATTACTTACCCACTGCTGGTTTTACCCCGCAGAATTTTGGTTTTGATGGGAAATTGGTTGTCAATTATGCTTGTTCCATGGCATGGGGCTAACTCAGTAATAGGGGCTGTGTAGAAGCTGTTCATATTGTAAGTGCATCATTTGCTTAAAGTTCCAATTAATTGTTCCTCGGAAAAGTGATAGGATAGTTTTCTATGCCATGTCTTGCTCACTGAAATTATGTTCTTTGTTCCACAAAATAAAAAATTAGAAATGATGATATGTAAGTTTCAAATTGATTTGATGCTAGTTTCTGTTTTTTTCTCTTTTTCTTATTCAAGTCTTTTAAATGCAGGATCTGAACCTGTAAATGATCTGAGCCAACAAGCCTACTACTGCCTCACAGAGTTGAACTCCGCTATAATGGAATTTAGGCTGTGCATAATTTGTTTAGATTGAAATGTGAAGTAAATAACTAAAGATAAAATATTCTTACAATTTTGCATCCTGCTTTTTTCTTCTATTCGAGAATCACGAGCTGTCAATGATTTCTATTTTCGGTCTTAAGTGATGTTCCATTATCTTACCATGACCAGTAAAATTGAGTGATTTAAATTGCTTCCCATGTATTATTGCCACCAAAATTTAGTTGTACTTTTAGTTGAATTGGTTGAAATAGGGAACTTTGTTCAGGAGTGAGAAAGACAAGTGAATAATGTTCATCTTCTGTTCATCTTAAAAGCAATTATCTTTCGGTGGTATATTGAGACAAAAGGTATCCCTGATAGACAGAACCAAACCAAGGGTGCTACTGTGGTGTTGCTTAGGACACTCATGTTTCAAGCCCTGTGATGATTATTCAACATCCTTGAGTAATTTAATAACTTAAAATACTAGTCACTTAAACATTATGTAGGATTCAGATAGTTGTATGATATTAGATGATTACTGGGCAGTTATTAAATTAGTATAGAAGGATTAGAAATTTTCTTACCATTGATAAGTAGAAACCAACTAAAAATGCTTTTAGACAAAAGCTATTAGATGCTTTTAGTCACTGAAGGTAATTGATTTTTTTTTTTTTTGAGATAAGTCACTGAAGGTAATTGATAAGACAAAACTAACATGCAGTATCCATTTGCAGGATCTCAACTGGGTGAACTGCATTTGAACTAGAATCTTATTTATAGTCAGTCTCAGAGTCTTGACATTAGGGGAATATATTCCCATAGAATATATTTCTATATAGGGATGCAGTCTGCACATGTAATTCAATTGGGACCCAAAATTGGCTGGCAGGACCCTGTACCCTACAGAATGAATTATTGAGGGGTATAAGCTTTGTTATTCAAATTCATTTTGACTTTGAGTTATTTTTTCTTGGATCCTGTGTCTTGCTCGGTAAATTTCAGTTACTTGGAGCTGTAATTCTCACTTTGATCAAGTAATTAGAAGCCTGTGCAGCTCCCTGTGAGGCCAGACAAAGTAACCCGTAAAAGGGAATGCCACCAGTTGCAGAATGAAAGGTTTGCATGTGGTGATTTATTATATATTTATTGTGATGTCAAAGATCTAAAGTACACAGATGAGGATCTATTTCCGTACGTAAGCAATTTATGATGCATGCTCATGCATGCAAAAGAGTTACGTTGCTTGGATCACATAGCTTTTTATGAGAATAAATTGGAATATATTTTATGTAGTTATTTTTTTTTAACTTTTTATGAATAAAGTTATATTGTTCTTGACAATTTTAATTTTAATTTTTTGGTTAATTTATAGTTTTACTTCTATCTCACACTAATCTTAACATAACTTACATAATTTATTGCCTTTGATTAGTCCTCTGCCATCTTGCATTTTTTAATAGTGAGTATTTAAGTTCAACCTCTTACAAAAAATTATTTAGATGTAAACTATTTTGTTTTTTGTAGCAAGAGAATTCTTAGACCAGCTTTAATATATCAAGATTGAATAACATCCTTAATAATTTCAAGTGTGCATTTCTCTCTAAATCAATTTCGTGCATTCGGTATTTTCAAAAATTTATATATAAGAATTGAAACTTTATTAAATAGATTTAGTAGCAGATATTAGGAAATAAAGTTATACCGTGTTTGGTTTATTTTTTATTCAGTCCTTGTTTTAGTCTTTTGTATAATTTGTTGAAACATGATTTATTGTACTTAAGTTATGTATATTGCTGCTTTAGTTTATATATAGGAGGAATACATTTAAAGGTATGAAATGAAATTTTCCTAGTGAATTTTTTGATTTAACAGTAAGACTATTGAGCTTTAACATACTGAAATTAAATTTCTTAAGAAGGATCTAAATGGAGCAGTCCTTCACATTAATCTAATACATTTAGTATTTTACTTCTGGAGTACTAAGTACTAGAATTAAAACCATATAATCACAGTAGAGAAAACTGAAATAATTACTGTGAATTATTGTTCGAAGTTTATGTAGATTGAGTAGCAGTGATTTAAGGTTAACAAACACACTTGAAACAAAGATTTAATTGAAACAAGTAGACATGCTGTGTGAACTTTTTGTATCATGCTAAAAAAGCTGCACACAAACATAAACCCTTGAGTACTAATCAACTTAATTTCCATGCCAAACAAGCCCTTAGAATCAAAGCTGAACAAATCTACTCATCCACTCCAAGTTCAGTGGGTCCTCATTGGAAAAATCAAAGAAATCATCAACATTAAAGCTCCCTGAGGGTGAGCCTTCCCCTCCATTACAGCCATTAATCTCTTCTTCCTTCATTACTTCTAAATTAATCTCCTTGCTCTCCATTACTTTTCTTTTTTCACCAACATACATTTCTCTGATTTCTGAAGCTCCACTTTGTCTGTCTTTCAGCTCTATCTTCTTGCTCAAATGAGAATTCCAGTAGTTCTTTATCTCGTTGTCGGTTCGCCCGGGTAATCTTCCAGCAATCAGAGACCACCTAATTAACACAGCTTGCTTACTTTAGAAAGAACCCATTGTATATAATATAATCATTATCATCATCACCATCGTACACACACAAGCACACATATATATAAATACATATATATGTATATATAACCTGTTTCCAAGAAGTTTATGAAGCCTAAGTATCAAATCTTCTTCTTGTTCTGATATATTGCCTCTCTTGATGTTTGGTCTCAGATAATTCATCCATCGTAGCCTGCAACTCTTGCCACACCTATTGAGACCTGCAGCCCAAGAAAACATCAAATGAGAGGTACCATTCAAGCCATTTGTATAATGTCTCTTCCATCTTTGTAGTATATAGAACAAGAAAGTGAAAAGAAAAAGAGAAAGAAAGAAAACCTGCTTTGGCTGCAATTATCTTCCACCTTTTGGTCCCATGAATTGCAATAACCTCAGCCAGTTTTCTATCTTCTTCTGCTGTCCATGTTCCTTTATTGACATCCTTTTTAGTAGTGGACATGTCTTTCAGTACTGCTTCTTCAAGTGGCTTCATTATCATTTCACCTTTAATGTTCTCATCATGGTCTACTTTACGACCCATCTTTTCTTCTTCTTTAATTTCTCCTTTACTATAAATATATAGATTGGACTTCTGAGCTACGGGCTCTCTGGTTAATTCTCTTGGGGATTCTGTATCATCTAACCTTCTTGGTGGAAGTGAAGAACCTCAACTACCCTTTATATAGATACAAGCAGTAGCCTATACAGAATTGAAGGACAGTGAATATCACGGAATTGATGATTGTATAATGACTGGTGTCAGAGATTGTGAAAGTTTTATGTAAAAGATAATAAATTAGGCTGGATTGTTAGCTAGAGACTAGATAGAAATTAGAAAAGGTCACATTCTTTTCCCTTATTTACACATTAAAAATCAATAATAGGAGCAAATGGGTATGCATATCAGCTTTAGGGAAAAAGAAGAAAGCAGAAAAAGGGTTAAATAAAAAGGTCTGTAAGTCAGATACCTCTTTAATCAGATTCCCAAGTACTACAATATGTAACTTGTGTTATTCTTGGCAGAAGGTCATTGTAGGATTTGTCCTCACTTGCTGGAAAAGTTATTCCATATGGTTGACACGACATGCATGGTTCATTCTTCAAATTAGTTTTGTCGTGTCATTGCATTTTTTTTTTTTTAAGCTATGGTGATTTTTGTTAGGAGAAAAATTACTGATATGATTATGATCATCAAATAAAACTTTGTTGTTGAATACAAAAATATTTATTGATATGGAGTTTGGTATTAGGAAGAAATTGGGTGGGATGATAGAAGTGTGTTTGTATATGTAGAGACAAAGGAGATGAATTCAATATTATTTGTATGGAATTCTGAGAATTGGGAACTGTGGCAGACATTTGTTTGTCTTTGGAAGATTATGCATTTTAAATCCATGAAAAAGGAACAGAAGAACACAAAAATTCATTGTGTTGTTGAGTGCTTATAAATGTAATATAGTAAATTTTTTGTAAGAGATTATAAGTTTGAGTTAGGACGAGAAATTTTGCGTTTTTATTAAAAAATTATTTTATAATGAATATATATATATAACTTAATTAATAAAATATATATATATATTTATTAAAAGAATATTAATACTTTTAATTTATTCTCTCTCTCTCTTACCCTATCATTTTGAGCTAAAGGTTAAATACTATTAAATTTACATCATATCAAAAAAGCATATAATTTAGGAGTATATGTATATGTATATGTATCTCCCAATTAAAGTACATCCAAAAAGTCATCAAAGTTTGAATTTGAGTAACTTCGAGCCAAAAGTGAGATTCTTATTGATTCATTCTTAGCTACATGACAATGAAATTTTTATTACTCTTATAAATTAATTACCTTTTTGAGTCCAAAGTATTTGAAATGTGATTCTAGGAGTTTCTCACTCTATTACTTATATTCAACCAAGTAAGTCAAAATATATTTATAATTTATAAAAATAAGTCTCTCTATCATAGATATATATATATATATGTATATTCTAATACGTTCGCTATTATTGTTAAGTGTGTTTGAATTCATTAATCAAATATGTAGGCTACCGTTCTAATATAGTGAATTGATTAAATAATTCATTTTAATAAAAAAATGAGTAAAATTTATCATAAATTATTATTAAAACATTCTTTTAATACGAAAATATAAATAGTTTAATTAATTATTCAAATAATAATGTAAATTTTACGTAACTATCTAAAACTAATTTTTCGGTGATCAAATTTAAAAATTCTTGGTTGAATTAGTGATTATGTACTATGAAATTAGATTTTAAGAGTCATATATTGCATTTGGAGGAGATTATATGAACAAATATATACATATGTGTGTGTGTGTATATATATGTATGTATTTCCTAAAATGGGTTATGAATGATATGTGAGTTTGTTGGGTGACTACTTGTATAAGGTTTGTTTATAATGAAGGATTAGGTGAAAATAAGTAGTAGTTTGTTGAAGTGAAGAGTATGGACAAGGGTGATGATTCCAAAAACACATGGAATTTTTGAATTGTGGTACCACCCATAATCACCCTTGTCCCCATCTCCTTTTCTACATTGTCATTCATGTCAGCTTTTAACTCTAACAAATACATTCACATATATATACACATATATATACATATATAGATAATTTTTCACATTGCAAAATTTTTAAAGTCAAGGCCTTTATCTTTTGTTCTCTTCCCTATGGATCTTCATAGGCTCGGTCAACCAATTCATACACACACACATACATTCATATATATATATATATATGTATGTATATATTGTATAGATTCAAGGAGAGGAATAAACTATCCCCTCTATGAAAAGTTGACCCCTCTCATATTTTTCTTAATGTAATTCTTTTTGTAAATTTTATAACAATATAAATTTTTTTTAAGAAAAGACATAACCTCATGACTCATGATTTAAACGTGTATTCTTACAAAACATGATATAAATATTCAAAATTTTAAAAAATATGAATTATATGATTCAACTCTATAGCATGAAATTAATATATAGATATTTATTAAAAAATAATTATATAATAGTTCAGTATATTTTTATTACAAAGATTTTAAATATCTTAACTATTTCTTTTTAGATGTTTAATTTATTTTTAATGATTTCCAAATCTAATTTAATTTTAAGGTACACAACAAAATTAGTCATCCAATTTCGACAATTCCTGTAATTTATTTCCTAATTCGAATTTTAATTTCTTTTTATTTTTAACGAAAATTATTGGAATAATTAGATTATATTTGAATACTTTAAAAAATAATTTTAACTAATTAATTAAGTTATAAAATAGTTATACCGTGTTATTAATTTAATTAATAGTTTTAACTAATTACTTGATTAAAATACAACATAAATATTTTAATTTTTTTATTATAAAATAGAAGAAAATTAGAAGTTCAAAATATATAGAAAATGTTATAAATCAAAAACTAAATTGTAATTAACGTTAAATTCTGATAATTAATTTGATAATTTGTTCTTAATTTTATAAATTGTGCTTAATCATAATTTGGTCAAACGGTCAAACTGATCCTGTGGGCCCACTCTTCTTAGCCCAACCGACCCGCTTGTTGGAGTTGTCCTTTGAAATTTAATGTCTTGACCCGAACCCAACATAGGCCCGATCCAAATTAATCATAACTCAATGAATTAAGTAAATTAGAATTAGATTTAATTAAAACAAAAACATATAAATTTAAATTAAATCAATTTCATAGGACAAAAATTGCTTAGTACATAATCATCCCATTTCACACATTTAGAGATATAGAAAGTAACATTATGAGTTAACAATAATCAACTTATAATATTTGATTCAATGAGATTTTAGATTCAATATATTAATGTGTTTGTGAAGTTACGATGGTCAAATTAAATTAAGTTTAAATTTATTATCTTTTCAAGCGAAATAAACATTATGTAACGACTGTATTCTTTAAATTATTGTAATAGTTAATTTTTAATATTTTATTTACGTATACTTAGTTTATTAATTAGTATATTAGTGAGATTATGATGGTCAAATTGAGTTAAATCATGAGTTAACAATAATCAACTTATAATATTTGATTCCATAAAATTTTATATTCAATATATTAATGTGTTGGTGAAGTTACGATGATCAAATTGAGTTAAGTTTAAATCTATTATCTTTTCAAGCAAAAAGAAACATTATACGACGGCTGTATTCTTTAAATTATTGTAATAATTGACTTATAATATTTTATTTACGTATACTTAGTTTATTAATTAGTATATTAGTGAGATTATGATGGTTAAATTGAGTTAAATCATGAGTTAACAATAATTAACTTATAATATTTGATTCCATAAAATTTTATATTCAATATATTAATGTGTTGGTGAAGTTACGATGATCAAATTGAGTTAAGTTTAAATCTATTATCTTTTCAAGCAAAAAGAAACATTATACGATGGCTGTATTCTTTAAATTATTGTAATAGTTGACTTATAATATTTTATTTACGTATACTTAGTTTATTAATTAGTATATTAGTGAGATTATGATGGTTAAATAAAGTTAAATCATGATTTAACAATAATCAACTTATAATATTTGATTTCATAAAATTTTATATTCAATATATTGATGTTTTGGTGAAGTTACGATGATCAAATTGAGTTAAGTTTAAATCTATTATCTTTTCAAGCAAAAAGAAACATTATACGATGGCTGTATTCTTTAAATTATTGTAATAGTTGACTTATAATATTTTATTTACGTATACTTAGTTTATTAATTAGTATATTAGTGAGATTATGATGGTTAAATTGAGTTAAATCATGAGTTAACAATAATCAACTTATAATATTTGATTTCATAAAATTTTATATTCAATATATTGATGTTTTGGTGAAGTTACGATGATCAAATTGAGTTAAGTTTAAATTTATTATATTTTCAAGCGAAAGAAACATTATGTGACGACTGTATTTTTTAAATTATTGTAATAGTTGATTTATAATATTTGATTCATGTATACTTAGTTTATTAATTAGTATATTAGTGAGATTATGATGGTCAAATTGAATTAAATCGTAAATTAACAATAATAAACTTATAATATTTGATTCCATAAGATTTTAGATTCAATATATTAATGTGTTTGTGAAGTTACGATGATCAAATTGAGTTAAGTTTAAATCTATTATCTTTTCAAGCAAAAAGAAACATTATACGACGGCTGTATTCTTTAAATTATTGTAATAGTTGACTTATAATATTTTATTTATGTATACTTAGTTTATTAATTAGTATATTAGTGAGATTATGATGGTTAAATTGAGTTAAATCATGAGTTAACAATAATCAACTTATAATATTTGATTCCATGAGATTTTATATTCAATATATTAATGTGTTGGTGAAGTTACGATGATCAAATTGAGTTAAGTTTAAATCTATTATCTTTTCAAGCAAAAAGAAACATTATGTGACAACTATATTCTTTTAATTATTATAATAGTTGATTTATAATATTTAATTTACATATACTTAGTTTATTAATTATATATTAGTGAGATTATGATGGTTTAAATTGAGTTAAATCATGAGTT